AATTAAATACTTAGCTAAACAAATCACAAGCAAAAACTTACGGAGTCAAGCAGCCAGCCGTAACCATCTTTTGGCCAAGATTCTCTCGGTATCATCAGCTTCAAATAAAATTCTGCGTTCCTCCCTCCATAACTGTACTTATCTTCGTTCCTACGATGAAAAACAAAAGTATAAGATTGTAAAATTATCAAAATAGGTTACTAGAGAGAAAACTTACAAATTAGACTTAACGAAGTCCAAAACTTTCAGTATTTTCTCTTGATCAATCTTTGATAGTGGTTCTTTGGAGACATATTCACCAGTTGTGATCATCTTCACTGTGTTCTCCAAGCTTAAAGCATTTTCTTCCAAAGAATTACTATTCTTTTGTTTCTATGATCTAGAGGAGCTAGCATCATCTCTCTTCATAAGAATAACAATTTAAGAAAATAAGAAATGATATCTGAATGTAAAAAGAACATATTTATAAACCATTATAAACAGAGTTGTTTACCGTTTTTCCTCGTCCACCTCTTGTCTCTATACATTGGTCGGGCTCTTTAGTTTCATTTTCATGTACCTCTTTCTCTTCTTCTTCTTCTTCTTCTTCATGTGGACGTTTTCCACCTTTCCTCTTTTCCTAATATTTCAAGGAAAAAATTATCTTAACTATTTAAAAATTAATAAAAGAAAAGCTTTATAAAAATATCAAAACAAGAGAACCTGTCTAAGGGCATCCACAAAAGATTGTAAAACTTCTGCATCACTAAATTTTGGCTGATCATTCTGTCCATTTGCAGTTTCTTGGCGAATCTTCAAAATAGTTTCGAGATGCTTCACTTTGTCTTCAAGAATCACTACCTTCTTTGTGAGGAATTGAATCTTTTCTTTATCACTAGCATCAATCCCAGGTACAGAGTTTCTTTGTTCCATTTCCGCCTCTGCAACATCAATGTTGACACTCCCATTAACCCAATCTTGTTTCTTTAGACGGTATCCTCTCTTCACAAGATCTAACACTCTTCCAAATTCATTGTCAACAACTTCTTCAACCAAATTGCCATGCAATTCTGGATCTCCAATGATACATTTTACATCAACCTGAAAATAGTATTTGAATGATTAAACAATCCATAGAACAAATAATAGTAATACTGCAAAAAAACACCTCAGTTTTATAAGGCCTTATATATCGTTTACCTTTTCATTAGTGTCAAATCTGATCACTTCTTCCATGGTAAGCGATTTGGTTTCTATCCAATGCAAACACAAAGGATACTCTGTTTCCGGATCCTTAACTCCAAAGTAGTATTTCTCTAGCTCATCCACAGAAGACAGCGCCCATAGATGAACTGCATATATGAATCCACAGATCCCATACTGTTCCTTCTGCAACGTTTTAATGTTAAAACCCTTGATTTCCTTGCATAGAAAATCATAGGCTATGTTCCCCCACGGATAGTTGCAATACTCTTTGAAGTTTGAAGCTCTAACCAGATTCTCCTCGGGTATGCAAGTCTGTGGATTGATTGCCATAAGTATCCCTTCAACCAGTATNATATGAATCCACAGATCCCATACTGTTCCTTCTGCAACGTTTTAATGTTAAAACCCTTGATTTCCTTGCATAGAAAATCATAGGCTATGTTCCCCCACGGATAGTTGCAATACTCTTTGAAGTTTGAAGCTCTAACCAGATTCTCCTCGGGTATGCAAGTCTGTGGATTGATTGCCATAAGTATCCCTTCAACCAGTATAGTTGCCCCCAATCTCAATCTCTGATTCGCAGTTAAATCTGAACTGTTTTTCTCAAACAGTTTAATCAAGCTATTCAAAGTTTCATTTTTTGTCATCCATGGATCCTTCTTCTTCTTGCTTCTTGGTGTTTCCACTTGACCTTCAACAACACAAGGAAGACCTGTCGCCAAGTGAAATTCCCTTAGTGAAAACCTCATTGCTTGTTCTCCAAAAGAAAACCACAAACTCTTAGCTTCAATCTCAATTCTCCTTAAGAGCAAATGGTGAGTCAAATGCCTTGAAAACACCATTTTTTCCTGCCTCCTTGCCATCTTGATTATCGGACCCATGAACGAGTCTTCAATCTTCTTGAAATCATCACCCAAAACCCGTTCAACCTTTTCAACCAAACCAAGGTTGGAACGCTTCGCAATTCTCTTCAATTTGAATTTATCTGTCGCATCTTCAGACTTTCTTTTTGGCAGAGCAATCTTCCTTTCACTGTTACTCATCTTTTCCCCTGAATCAAATCAAACACAATCCAAATTGTTGATGTCAAACTCAGTCCAAAAACATCCACAACTTCAAAGAAAATATATTACAAATTCGACCAGTCATCAACAGAGATCAAAGACACTTTCCCAGAGATATTGACAGAAAGGTACAAATCCAGAAACTTGAAGCGTAATTGCAATCTCAGATACCAATAAATCGACTACCAAAACGACGAAAAAATGCAAAATTACCTGAGATATTGAGAGAGATTCAAAGAAATCTTTTTAACTCATTTTCACTGATTTCTTATCTGCAATTGAAAAGAAAACAGAGATCCCTTCAATTGTTTTAGTTTTAGTTTTAGATCTAATCGAGAAAACACTAAGTCTGTTGCAAAATTACCTGAGACCCGATATAGAGAGAGATTAAAAGTAATCTCTTTTACTCCTTTCCCTGATTTCTTATTTTGCAATTGAATTGAGAAAACAGAGAGTCGTTCGATCGTTTTAGTTTTAGTTTTAGATCGAATCGAGAAAACAAATTGAAAAACCCTAAGTGTGTTGTTCATACTGTTTTAGTTTTAGGCCCATTTTTTTATTGTTGTTTAATTTAAGGCCCAATTATATTTTTAGTTAAATCGTTTTAC